ATTTATAGGTTGCCTTCCTTGTATTTTAAGTTCCAGTGATATTTGTCATCATATGTAAGTACTCTTTAGAGTTACCATGTCCTATACTTACTATTTTTCTCAATTTCACTTTAATTATACCACTTGCATACAGGTATGAATATTATTAAACACAGATTTATTTCTGCACTCTCAGTACTCCAAGCAATAATCCTACGCTATACTAGTGCGTGCTGCCTCAGAATTAGTAATAGATGCAGGATATATTCCTCATCTAAGAATTTCACAGTCTTTCCAGAAACACACATGAAAGTGAGGCAGAGAATAAGGAAAATGCCCAGAACATCCACAGATTAGAGAAACAGATACAATGTGAGGGATGAGCTGTGAGTCTTCATATAAGCACCAAGAGAGGTATTTTAGGGCAGCTCTTGGCATTGACATGATTTTTTAATTGAATTTTTTCAGTATTCTTTTTGATATCCAGAACACTGCAATCATTTGAGCCATTTTTTAATTTTTAAAAATATATATTTTAGAGATTGTTCTGGAGAAAATCTTACTTTAAAAAAAACTCAGCCAATACAGTAAATATGATAAGGTTTTTAGGGCCCTTTTCTCCAGTGATAACATTTTATGAATTGATTCTGGAACTTAAAATTTTACTATGGGTCAAAAGTACAGATCGTTAATTATCTAATTTAATTATCTAATGTAATCCCAGAAAGTTCTTTGGCATAGTACTTTTAGGATACAAATGTTAGTATATTTTGAGATATACAGTGCATAGCAAAAAGAAAAGGGAAAGAACTGCATCTTTTAAAATTATGTAGTAGATACAGACATATATAAACAAAGTCACGCATTCACTGTAGGAGCTGGCAGTGTGACAGCCCACAGGGACTCCACCTCCCTGAGCCTCCTCACCTTTGCATCATTCTCTCTCACACTGTTTCCTGGCTGGCCTGCGTGACCACTGGCAAAGGTCAGAAGCGACGTCACGTCTGTGATTGGGTTATAAAACACTGTGACTTCCACCCAGTCTCTCTCCTTCTTGCTCTCTCTCTCTCCACTCTGGGAGAAGCCAGCTACCGTTCTGTGAAAACCTTCCAGCAACTTACAGGGAGGCCCATATGGAAGGAAGAGAGACCAGTGGCCAACTTGCAGCAAGGACCTGGGGCCACCATCACCATGTGAGTGAGGTTACAGCAGATTCTCCAGCCCCAGCAGAACCTCGAGATGGCGGCAGCCCTGGTCACAGCTCAACTGTGGCTTCCAAGGCACCCTGAGCCAGAGAAACCCAGATGAGCCCCTTCCAGATCCTACTGTTATTGTTTTAAGATAACAATGTGAGAGTAATTTATTTTGCCACAGTGGGTGACAAATACAGCTGATGTTGGATAGAAAAGAAGCACTTGATTATTTGAAGCTCTTAATATTTTAAGCCTATCATTGACAATCAGCATGTTTTCTGTTTTTAATTAATATTAGATGACATTACTAAGGCTTACCCTGATTAACTCTTTTTTTTTCTTTTCCCAGTACCAGAAATCGAACTCAGGACCTTGCACTTGCCAGGCAGCTGCGGCACTGCTGAGCTAAATCCCTGGCCCTGAGTAACTCTTTTTCTATACACCTAGTGGCCTTTCTTATTTTCTTAGAAAATTAGTTAATGCCACACAAAAGCACAAGATGGCCTTTACTTAAATATGTTTTGGATGAGATAGCATTATCAACAACTGTGTCTGCCACAAAAGGCATGTCTTGCCAAACAGTGGGCTGGTGATACAGGTCACTCTGAAGTACCCTACTGCTCTTGGAGAAAGGCACGTTGCATAGAGGGTGTGACAGACATCTGTGCCACGGGGGTAGTATCAGTTGAGGGATGTATGATGCCAAGGATATTTCACTAAGCTGCACAACGCCGAGAGATTCTGCTGTTACTGAAAAAGGACATGTGATGCTCCATTTAATACTTACTATCAACACTGTGACTTTCCAGTTCCTAACTCCTAAGGACATCCAGTGCTCTGGTGGTTTCACTATCAAGGCTTCAGCAGTTCTCCCCCGGAAGTCTCTGTTGGAGTCATGGACACTCGGGCGAGCTGGATGTTCCTACTAAGCAAGCGTTTGGCTATGGTGGAGGACGGTGAAAGACAAGCAGGAAGGGAAGACAGAACTTCGTATTAGTTTGCCACGACTGCCTTAACAAAGTGCCACTGATCCAATAACTTGGACAACAGAAATTTATTGTCTCGTGATTCTGGGGGCTAGAAGTTCAAGATCCACAGGTTGCTAGGTTTGGATTCTCCTAAGATGTCTCTCCTTGGCTTGTAGCCAGCAGTCTCCTCTATGGGATTATGCAGTCTCCATTCTGTACATGGCGTCTGAATTCCCTCTTCTCATGAGGACATCAGTCACACTGACTTAGGATCACCCTCGTGACCTCATTTTATCTCTTCAAATACTCTGCAAATCAGTCACATTCGGAGGTACTGGGAGCTAAGGCTTTCAACTAACTAATCCAGGGGACACTATTTGGCCCATAAGAGGATTGAAATGTATTGTTCAGGTAAATCATTAACAGAGGAAATGGTCTCTGGAAATCTTAAGCAGAACTGAATAAGAGAGCAAATAAAAGTGATAATGGATTTAGGCTTCTTGTAAGTATATTATGGTAATTTTTGATGTGCTTTTTAACTGAAATTTTTATTTCTTCTGCATAATACATGTTTGATACTCAATTGGTACAAATACCTCAGTTCCAAGACAAATTCTCTACCACAGTTTTAAAAATTTACCTTAATATATATTATATTAAGCTTATATTGCTGCCATGTCTGTTTATCTACATAAAGAGAAATGTGTATTAATCATTCATTTATATTAGAGTTTATTATTAGCAAAAGCCCAGACTAATCCTTTACTCATCTATCATTTTTAAATTATCCCAAATAAAAGATAAATGTAAATATCCTACCAACATAATGAATATACAATGGGTATTATCAGTATTAACAGTACTCTTAGTGAGTGGGCTGCGAGGTTGGGTGAGGCATTTGAGGCCCCGTCCTTGTCATACAACCTCCCAAACAGTGTGACTGTCAAGACAGGTCTGGATGTTGGCTGCAGGCTCAGCAAGCACTCATCACTCATCACTTAAGTGCGACACAGAGAAGTGGACCTTTAAGATACACAGTCCGATGACACTGTCCTTGTAAGATGAAGAAAAGCCAGTGACAAATGCTGGCCAAATTCTGACCTGTTAGAAATATTTGAAGGGCTGTAGCTGTAGCTCAGTGCTTGCCAAGCAAGCACAAAGCCTGGATTCCATGCCCAGCACCACACACACACACACACACACACACACACACACACACACACACACACCATACACAGCAATTTTAGAAATACTTGAAAAACACAGAGCATACTTTGAAAAACTGAAGTTATGGGACTGGCATTGATTGATTAGTACAGAAATGCTTGTAACTGATATTCCAGAAATCTAACTCTTTCAGATAAATTATTTTTTAGTCTCCACCAAATGACCAGAAGTGAATGATGGAGGGGTGGTCTGAACTGAGCATCTGTCGCCTCCTCCTGTCACTCACTGCTCGCCTCCCAGGCTTCCCATGGTCCCCAGGCCCGGCAGTGGTTTCTGACAGAGAAGAGGAATGGGAGCAGAATCTGCAGAGCTCAGTGGAAGGATGTGGCTGGGAAGAGCCCACGTGAGACAAGCGTTTACTTCTGGGGTTTACAGTTTGTGTTTTCTTGTCAACACCAGCTACTATCGAATTCTCTCCTTCAGCTCCTCCTTCTCTCCTTTTCCCCTATGGTCACATGGGGCCTCCACCCACATGAGGAAAGGGATCCCTTTATCTTCTCCAGGCCACCTGCCTCCCCCTCATGGTTCTAATAGGATTCTCTGCAGAGACTGGTCCTGAACTAGCCTCAAATCTTCTTCCTACTTGATAGACCATGAGCAGCTCAACCTCCTCCCTACGGCTTAAATAAGATTCATTTCTTTATATCCAAGGACACACTATCATATTAGTGACTTCTAGGCAAGAAGTTTAGCCTGCTCAGTGTTCTTCCTCATCCACAAAGATAATCTGATCCTTTCCAATTGGAGATTTTTACAATACTTGGAAGCACTTGGGTGAGGTTTTGATGTCAAGAAGTGCTTCTACTTTTATGAAATTAATTTGTCATATCAAGAAAAGACTTACCTGAAATTCTCTGGGTGCAAGCTGAACTTTGCTCAGCAAAACCTCAGGAAAGACATACTGGGTCCCATAAGTACCACTGAGGGAGAACATCTCGAACCTGGTAGCAGCGGTGTCAACTGAGCCACCACAGCTCTGTATATCAGGGGTTTTACACTTCAGCGGGGTGCAAATCTAGAGAAGTAAAGCATCAAAAAGTCAGAGAAAGTCATGTACATGTAATTAGCTTTATCTAGTCATTTCACAATGTATATATCAAAGTATCATATCCTCCATACCATTCCTGTTAATCTCATCTCAATAAAGCTGTGGTGAAATTTTTTAATTAATTAATTAATTTAATGCTAGCTGCTCTTTAAAAAAAAGTCATAAGAAAAGCAATTGAAATACCCTGTATTTTAAAAAGTCACATATTTGTATATGAGCAAAGACTGAAAAAGTCAATTAAGTTTTTCTTTCACTACACTATTTAGGTATTTCTATATAAAATTTAACTAAGGAAGTCATCTTACTATACAGATGGAAAGGTTCCAGAAGCAAGACCCGCATTTACTCAACTAGACCTGAATAGCATCTTCCAATTCACCTTCACCTCTTGTCAGACTAAAGTTTTAGCATCTAGCTCATCTGCTCCCTGCACGTTTGCAGATGGTAGGCAGGCACTTCAGGGCAACAGTGTTCAGATGAGAGAAAAATAACTTCTAAGTAACTTCTAAGAAGTAATATATGCTTCAATTTTATTCCCTTATTAACCTACAAAATGCAACACTAGCTTTAAAAAAAGATATAAACCCACAGGGTATGACAATAGGACAGACCGCAGCAGTTTCAGAAGTTGAGGAGTTGATGTAAAAAAACAGTAACTGACTCAGCAGACCTAAGAAACCCAATCCTAAACTGGAGGTGGGGAAGGCCAAGAATCAACCCCACCCACACCGCAGGGTGTCCAGACAATGCCATCACTGGACCACTTGGCACCTCAGAGCTGGGAATAACATTATGGTGGCTAAAGTAAGAGAAATTAGTGGAAAGTTGCAAGAATGCCTTAGATACTAAGTCCTCCATGACAAATGAGCCCATGACACTCCTACATGCCAATAAAAGACATAATTTATTCCAGGGAGGAAAGCAGGTGGTCTTTAGGTGGAAATATGAATGACACAGTTGATGGGCATTACATGAATAAAATCATATTGAATGTTAAAAATATTTCCCTCCATTATCCCCTACAAGCACCCTGCAAGGCCATTTCTCCAGGCTGACTCTATAAATGCTTAAATACAGTAGATTTATCTTTCAGCAGTAGAGATACCAGATAAAATACAGGATGGGACAGTCAGGTAAGTTCAGATCTGGGGATATACTTCAGTGGTAGAGCCCTTGCCTAGCCTGTGAAAAGCCCTGGGTTCAATCTCCATCACCAAAAATGAAATTTGTAGTGCAGCGAATCATTTTTTAGCATAGGTACATCCTAAATATTGAATGGGATATACTTATATTTAAAAAGTTGTTTATCTGAACTCCAATTTTACCTGTGCCTCCTGTGTTTCTACTTTAATTAAGAACCCTGTACAGGAAGAAAATTAGAAGGATCCTGAAACCTGAAACTTAATCCCAAGAGGAAGTTTCTAAAGGTGCTTACCTCAGGGATTGACCTAACAAAAGATACAGCTAGATCACCCTACCGTGAAGCTCAAGATTGGTTGGCAAGTATGTAGTAGCCACACACTCAGAACTTTCAGTTGGGTTGTGGTAAGTCCTCAGGCATTACTAGTATCTGATGAAAACTTATAACATGAAAGAGAGAGCAAAAGAAGCAAATAAAGACAAAGGAACCAGAGACACCTGTTTACAAAGATGGGGCCAAAAACCAAGAAGGAAGCTCTTCCCAAAAGCTGAAGCCAAAGCAAAGGCTTTGAAGACCCAGAAGGCAGTGTTGAAAGGTGTCCACAACCAGAGAAAGATCTGAAGGTCACCAACCTTCCAGCTACTCAAGCCACTGAGGTTTGCAAGGCAGCCCAAATACCCTCAGAAGAACACATCCAAAAGAAATAAGCCTGATCACTACACCATTATCAAGTTTCCCTGGGCCACAGAGTCAGCTCCGAAGACGACAGAGGACACAACCATGCTTGCATTCATTGTGGATGTCAAGGCCAACAAGCATCAGATCAAACAAGCTGTGAAGAAGCTGTACCACACTGATGTGGCCAAGGTCAATACTCTGACCAGCCCTGGTGGAGAGAAGAAAGCATATGTTCTACTGACTCCTGATCACGATGACTGGATTTTGGCAAGAGAACTGAGATCATCTAAATTGAGTTTAGCTGGCTAATTCTAACTATACATTGTTTTGTCAGGAAAGAAAGAAAAGAAAGAGAAGGAGAGAGGGAGGGAGGAGGAAGGAAGGAAAGAAATACAGATTATTTAGAGGAAAGTAATGTCAAGAATTTTTTTTCATTTTCTGTGTTACTGTGGCTTGAACCCAGAGCCTTCACACTCATCCCCCACCCTTTTTCTGTATTTAATTTTGATACCAGATCTCTCTAAGTCGTTAAATTCCCCAAAATGAACTGGAATTTATAATGCCCCTGCCACAGCCTCCCAGAATGCTGGGATTATAGATGTGCACTACCACACCTGGCTATCAGGAAATTTCTTTCTCAATAGCCTCAGAGATAAAAGAGAAAACACTGCATCCATGAAAGAAAAAAAATTGTTTTTTTAAGAAAGAAAGAAAAAAAAAGATACGAAAATTGGAGGACAAATCTACGAGAGCATTTAGATTTCCAAAATGAGGAAATTTCAGAAAAATGAAAAAGAGAAGGAAATTCTGCAAGCATTCTGGAGAGTACATAAGAAAAAGATATATACATATAAATCAGGAAGCAGGCTAACTTCAGAATTCTCAGTAGACATACAGCAAAACAGAAGGAAAATTATAACTACTTTAGTCCATAACCAGGCACTTACCTGAACTTAAGAGAAAGATATTTTCAGACACTTCAGTGTCAAAAAACTTACCTCCCAATCGTGCTTTTTGAGGAAATTTAGTAAAACGAAGAGCGCATGAACCAAAACCAAGAAAGGCAGGGAACAGGAAACTCACACAGAGGAATGGTAAGGAGAATCTTCCCCAGGAAAAGGGAGAGTCCAGGATAAGGCATAGGGGGCAGCCAGGTCAGAATGGAGCAGTAGACTGAAGAAGACAGCGTGTTGGAGGATTGGAGAAAGGAGCGAGTGAGGCTGGGAGGAAGAAACGGGGACTCTGAACTCAGAAAAAAAGGAAAGAGACAATTCCTAGGGAGATAGGAAAAGAAGTTGCAAGATAACCATTTACAGAAAGAATAAAAGAAAAGCAGACAAAATTCAATTATTTTTAATTTAGGATTACCTGGTAAAAACACCCTTGGAGGAAAATTGTTCTGAGATACTACTGGAAGGTACAGGGAGTTTAAAGCAAAAAAGTCAAAGAAAATTAAGTAAATTGTAAAGGCAAGGCAATTAATAACTTTAGAAAAAACAAAGAGAAAAGGAATATACAACACTCACATGCTACTTGAAATGATATTTATGTAGTCATAACAATATAAATAGTACATATTGAATACATAAAGGTTATATTGAAAGAATGGCAGAGGGGATGCAGACAGAACAATATAGCAGAGTTAAATGTTCCTCTATGCAGGCAAAAAATGAAACACAATGACCAAAAATGGTGCATTTTAAAAAATGGAATTATTATTAGGTAAAATGAATTGCAATTGAAAAAAGGAAGAAGCAGAAGTGCCCCTAGAAAGGAGAATTAGAAGGACCGGAAACAGTACAACTGTTACATTTTTTGTGCTATTTTATGTTATGAACTATGTACATGAATTACTTAGAACAAATCCAGGCAATAAAAGGTTGAGAGTCTTGGATGTAAAGAGAAATGAAAGAATAAAGGAATTGTAGAACTAAAATTTATGAATAAAACATAGCTGTATTATTTAGAAATATAGAATAAATTCCAGAAAAACAACCTCTAAAAGATTCAAAACTGCAGTTGGCCAGTGGTGCATGCCTATAATTCCAGGTGCTTAGAGGCTGATCCAGGAGGATCACAAGTTTGAAGCCAGCCTGAGCAACTTAGGGAGACCTTGTCTCAAAACAAAAACTACAGAGTTGAGGATGTACCTCAGTGGTACAGAATCTCTGACTGTGATGACCAGTAACACACACAAACACACACACACACACACACACACACGCACACACACATGATTCAAAATAGTTTGCTTGCCTCCAGAAAGGAGAATGGGGCAGATTAGACAGAGAACTAGTGGTTTATAGGTCTCTAATGCTGTTTTTCTTCTTAATTATGTCTGTGATTACTTTGATTTAAAATGAATGAGGCTGGAAGGGATAGAACTAATCCAGATGGCAAGAAGGGAGAAGACAGTGGACATTTAAGAAGGACTAAAGCACGAAAAGAATTGAATAAGCAGTTATTTTGAATATAGCCAGTGTTGACCTGAGTGAAACCTGGTGACATAGGGATGGTGATTAAAAGATTATGTTTATTTTCAACTACCTAATATGAAAAGTTAACATTTACTGAGGACCCCTCATGCCAATCACAGTGCTTAACACTAAATGTACTTATTAAATCAAAGTTCCGCAAAACCCTAGAAAGAATTGATTCAGAGAAACCCTGAGTATGAGGAGCCAAGGCATAAGGTACTGAGAGGCAAGAAAGGGGCAAATCCAGAGGGTGTTATTATTACCCGTTCTCCAGGACTAGTTAGGTCCTTCAGTGATAGGCTCTAATTTTATATGGTACTTTTCCTTTGACGCATCTGTCACAACCAAAATTAAATAGCAACGTCTTAACTTCCTATTCAATAATTACCAATACTCCCTTTAGACACAAGCTCTATAAGGCAATGATCACATCTCTCCTACCCATCTTGCCGCCTCCAGCCTGTGTCAAGTGCCTGTATATGACAGGCGTTACATAAATACTTGGTAAATGAGAATTGATCCACATGGTATAGATGAAGATAAGTAGAGAGTTAAAGAGGTCAGAGATTGGACCAAGGCCAGGGTGCTAGTACATGGGGAAACAAAGACTTGCCCAGGATTTTCTGATAGCAGAATCCATCTTGTTAACATATTACTCAAGTCCCTGAATTTGAACTGTGTTTTTTAGCAGATGTTTTATCACTAATTTCTTGTATCATTGGGGAACAAATTTTATATTCCAAAACCCCATAGACTGGTCATTTAGAGGACTTTGACCTTAGGGAAAGGACACAGAGAGACCAAAGAGTAATAATCTATGGAAGAAGACCTCTAAGTGTATTTGCTAAAAATAATTGACTTCTTTTTCTATTATTTTTTTTGCTTTGATTTACTCTATAATTCCTTAAACTATTCAGTCTGTTCCATCTCCCACACTGCTATAGAAATTGCTCTAAATCTTCACTTCCTTCAAGCTCTCCAGTCTGGTTTACCCAACTTTTACCACTCCCTACTCTATAGAAAATGCCACACCTTCCTTCCTTCGCCACATCGTTAAAACTCTTACAAAATCCTGTACCCATGCAACACTTAGAAAACCTGTGACACAAGGCAGGGGTTTATTTCATCTTTACTTCTTTTTCTTTCTCTTCTTTCCTTCAGTTAAGAAGTAGCTTTTATGATAATAGTATTTGCTTTCTTAACATAGGATCATAATTAGACTTTGAAAGAGTATCAATATTATTCAATAACAAAATCCCTTATCCTCAAGACCAACATCTAAACTTTCCTGAAAACAAAGGATTTTTCTAAACCATTTGACATTAAAATCAAGGTGGAATAAACATGAGGCTGTAATGTATTTATTTAAGATATTTTGGGTGAATATTTCCATGTTTTCCAATAGACAGACTTATGTGTTTTATCCTGGGTGTTGCCCCAGACTCTGCTGGTAATATTAATGTCAAAATTCTTCTAAAATTAGAAAATTCCAGATTCTATGATATGTGTGGTGCCAGTGGAGGTCACTGCCCAGAAATAACCTCAGAAGGCTTGCTTTTACCCAGCAGAGAGGCCCTCTTTCCCACCACCAAAAAGGGACTTCTGAGCTCTCCTCCATGGGGCCCATGACTGGGGAAAGGGGGCAGACAAATAGGGCAATACTGAGAGAAAGGAAAGAGGAGGACTCAAGAAACTGCTATGTCACTTGATAGCTTTTATTTTTACTTAAAAATATAATCAGGGATTTAGCTCAGTGGAGCTGCACCTGCCTCGCAAGCACAAGGTCCAGAGTTCGATCCCTGGTACCTCAAAAAAATAAAATAAATAAATAAATAATAAAAATATAATCACAAAAAATCACCTATTTTTTATTTTTTAAAATTTAGATGGTAATAATAAAATACCATATATACACAGATCTAATGTAAAATATAACATGCCATTATAATACATGATGATATTTATATGGTAAAAAATATTGTTTGACAACATAATTTTAACAAATTTTCAATTTTGTACTTGGTTGGTGATACTATTTTTTCTCTTTCCTCTGATGCCTTAGAGTATTGATTCCTCTTATTGTCTGTGTCCTTTCTTCTTTTGCTGCGCCTTCCCTTAGGCCTAAACAGATAATCAAGGCTCTGTCATCTGTTGGAAAGGAACAAAACCTCTACAAGTCTCTGTCTAGTGCTGTCTTGTTACCCTTTTTCTTGTCTCAAAGTATTTTGGGGGAAAAATTCACTCATTCTCTCAATAACTTCATTTCTCAAACACTATCACCTGTGTTTCACTCAGGGAGCTGATGATATTCCACCAGGACTGTACCCATTAATGCCAATAATGCTGAACATATTTCATAAACATGCCTCCCAACTTCTCCACCTGAGAGTATCTACAATTTTGGGAGTCCACAAAAGTTCTCTTTGTAAACTCTTTTATTTTTCAATCATATTTGCACATTCCTATTCTTCTATTTCCTGTCCCAAACACTGGAGTTCCTAAAGGCTCCGCTTCTACTATGATTTTTCATTGTCCACATACTCGTGATTCCCCAAAATAAGACCTAACTGGGAAATAAGGGCTGATCATTATGATGGCGATGGTCAGTGTCATGCAGAACATTATACCTCACTCTTGTCTTGATCGGCGGCTACTCTGTAAAGGCAGGTGAAGCGAGGTGACTGGGGCTGCGATTTTCGATCTCCAGTTTTCAAAGCTAATTATTTTCTGGTTAGGTCTTATTTTGGGGGAAACAGGGTAGCCTCCTCTGCAAAGCCATTCATTTTTGGAGATTTAATCATCACCTGTATCCTGCTGATTCTCAAAAGAGTATTTCCTGGTCCAATCTCCCTTGAGCATTAAATTCATGTATTCAATAGCCTAAAGTCAATTCCTGGAACTGGAAAAAAATAAATAGCCTATTGAGTGGCTCCATTTGAATGTCCTGTAAATGTTTCAAAATTAGCTAGTCCCAAAATAAACTCAGCATCTTGCACCTGATTCACTCCCCTAGCATCCAGATCTCTCAGAGGCATCTCATCCACCTGGCTACTCTTACCAGGAACCCGGCATATTCTAGACCCTTCATTCTACTTTCTGGTCTCATATCAAATTAGCCACTGAGTTCAGTTTCCTAAATATTTCTTTACATTATATCCTACATTTAATTCCTACTAACATCATCTTGGTCCACAGCCTAATAGGACCATTTTATTACTCTATCTAGTTTTTCTTTAATCTTAGTTTCAAATTATGCAGTGTGTCAAAATGGTCTGTTCAAAAGCAGATCCAACCATACCATTCCCTTGTCAAATACCTTTCAACAGCTGACCGCCAACAGTGGAATGAAGTACAGATCTTAACTACACCAGGTAGGAGCGTAGGGGATATGAAGCTGGGGCCAGGCTAATCCTCCTCCAGCCCTTGCTTTTCACGTTATGCCCAAGCAACACTGAACAACTTGCTCTTCCTGCACGCCTGGGTCTTCCACACATCCACATCCTTGTTCATCTTCCCAGCCCACACTAGAATTCCCTCCACTCTCTTTTACCCAGATAATAGCGTCAGTTCCAGAAACTGCCCTGAATCCTCAAATTAGACTCAGTTCAGTCCTTATTCCTCTTACAGCAAAATGTGCCTACTATGTCTTATCACTTGTCAGCCTTTACTGAAATTCTCCATTGGAAGGTTTTTCTACTATACTAGGCATGAAATGTTTACTCATCTTCCTATCATTGCCACTGAACGTCTTCCTGGAGCATAGTCGGTACTCAATAAATGTTTGTAAAAACAGACAAGCATTGCTAGAGTGCTCACCATAAACCAAGCACAGTGTTACGCAGTCAGTATCTCCAGCATTCAAAGGCACTCGATCTCAAACAATTATGTGAGTAATGTGACATAAAACGAGTTTGATGAAACTAAGCATATGATGTTCTGGGAACACACAGGCAAAGTGCTCAACCCAGGTGGAGGGGGCAGTGGTGCTGCAGAAGTGTCACAGTGAGGATAATAACTGAGTATCATTATGAAAAACACCATGCAAACATCCACACACTTTGCAGATGCTGGCAAACTGGAGACAGACAAATGCATCGATGTGGCACAAGCCAGGACAAGTGTGAATGGAGAGGAAAGAAGGGGATAGAGAGGAAGAGGGGACCACACATCAAGCCTTTGTGAGTCTTTTAGGTTTGGGAACTTGACTTGTCAATTAGTCAGTGAAGAATTGTAAGAAAGTGATATAATCAGAAGTAGCTTTGCATGATTTTTGTAATAATAGTGCAGGGCATGAGGTGGCTGGAGCTGAGCTGACCCTAGGAACTCTGTTAGGTGGGTACTGCAATTATCTGAGTGAGAAAGGATGGGGACAGGGCAAGGAAGAACAAAGACCTGTCTCACCACACTATGGTAGCTCGCTCTCTATGTCAAGGCTACAAGACATCAGGATCTGCAGCCATAAACTGTTCTAGTGAACAACCCCAGACGCAACTCCAGCTGTCTCCAGTACATATTTAGAGTCAAGCTCTTTATACAGCAAGAGCAGCATTAGTGAAGAAAGAAAATGTCTAAATTTTAGGCAAGGAGTAAGTACTTAATTATCCATCAAAATCATCTGTAACTTGAATAACTTTTAATGTTGATACTGCAAATGAGTGTTATGCCTTTTTTCCAACCAGTTTAAAATTGGACTGACATCTAGAATTGCAATATTTAGCAAATAAAAATACAAGCTGCCCAGCTAAATTTAAGTTTCAAATAAAGAAAAAAAAATAGTACAGATATATTCCCTAAAGTGGGACATACTTATAGTGCACTAAAAGCATTCATTGTTTATCCAACATTCCAATTTACCTAAGCATCTGTATTTTATGTCCTAACTCTTCTGACCCCAAACATTACCTGTAGATGATAGCGTCCTTCAGCAGTATGCAGCCCATCAAATGCTCCTAAGGCATAAACTTCATCTGACCTCTTCTCAGACATCTGGTAGCTTAGATGACAGCAAAGATCTTTCTGGCAAACTGTGTAATTTCCTGTGATTCCTTTCAGCTCCACAAAGATGTATTCGTCAAAAAAGACAGTTCCTTTAAATTCCCGGTTCCCTGTCCAGAGGGCTTCTATACTGCTGGCATAAGAAGTCCAATTCACTACGGGGCGGTATGGATGGGAATCCAGCTGGGACAGGAGTTTTCCCTCCTGGGTCTTCATATCGTAATGAAATGTTCTTGGAAAATCTGGTGCATAGATGCCACTTCCTGGAAGTAAACAGTTGGAAGTACTGAGTGAAAGGTACTTCACAGTTGTTATTGTTATTGTAAACTCAAATTATCATTTCATTTCCTATAAGCCATATATTTTATTAATTTTAGTAAAATATGCTGATAAGGAGTCAGAGAGATGAGACAAAATCCAATAAAATATGACTCCAGGAAGAAAAAGTTTTCTGTAAAAACAGAAAAGGAGTATACACTCAAGTTGAATAAAACTAAATCTACACAATAATTTAGATTGCGATTAATTCTACAGCATGTCACTTGCTAGATGTTTAAAAATCAAGAGTTGGATAGAAAGCTACATGACTACGATCTCAACTCGCCAGGAGCTGAGGGAGGAGAATCATAAGTTTGAGCCCAGCTTGGGCAATTTAGCAAGTCCCTGACTCAAAATAAAATTTATAAAGGGCTGTGGATGTTCTTTCTACTTCCCAATAGCTATCCTCCATTTTGCTTCTTATTTATCCATTGGGTTTCTCACACGAGAGAAACAATGCAATATTTAAACTTGTGTGTCCAATATTTTGCACTTAAAATTATGGTCTTGAGGTGCATCCATTTACTTAGAAATGTCTCAAGCTTATCCATCTTTAGGCAGTACTCCGTTGTATGTAAATCACATTTTCACAAGGGAAGGGGAAAAGGAAGGAAGGGAAAATTATTTTAAAAAGCGAATGGGAGGAAAAATGGAAACAAGGCTTTTGTAAATGGGAAAGGAAAGAAAGGTTGAAGGGAGGGGAGGGGAATGGGAAAAAAGAAAATATATTGTGTACAGGTACAAATTCCCTATGATGAATATGATCATTAAGCATGTACCAATAACAAAAAAACTCCAAAGGTGGGGGTGGCTGCAGATGTAGCTCAGTGCAAAGGGTGGGGTTTAATCCCTAGTACAAAAAATGTCAGAAAAGTCAGAAGTGATTGTATTGAGGAGTACATGTTAGTCATTAAAAGATGATTTTTAAAAACTGAGTCTTAAAGGCCACACTTTACCTGTCATTCTCCTCAAAGGGTTATGTAAATTGGAGGCAAGGAAATTGACCCCAATGCCCATAGCTCAGGCCGAATGGAATTCGATGGCTGACAAATGTGGCAGAACATTCATCCAAGCCATGGGGAACAGTAC